TTGTGACTCCTGAATCTGGATTCACAGCTGCGACGGCTTGCTCACAACAATTAGAATTTAATTCGAAAGAAAACAGAACTGTCAATGTAAAATTTCTTGTCCCTGATCACCAGAATCTAATCGAAAATCCGGAATGCAAACTGGTGAGGCGTATCACGAAACAAACGCATATTTAAAGAAATGTGAAAACTAGTGAGTACAGAAAGTACTCCGTTAGAACATTGCATACATCTTTTCTAAAAATGTCAAACATAAAATCATATAGACTTGCGTTAGAAAAAAATGAATATTTCTGTGTCCCATAATTTGAAAGGAATGTTCTGAAGCATGGTGATCCCTGCAGTATGTATTTTTTGATACCTTCACACAGATTGCATTCATCTGTCAACCATAGAAGGATGGAAGGGTGTCGCGGAAATTAAAAGGAACAGTTTGCTGTTCTACTGAGTGAACTATTCTGACCTTAAAAAGATACTGATGGATGAACTGATGATCAGTATCTAATATGAACGCTACGTCCGATACGCAACGAGACGAGCAATATTAGATCGTGACTGCAATGCCATAATTACAGACCTATTCCTGATTAGAGAACGCTAAAATTCTGATGCATGCACGGTGTAGAACAGAAGCCACAGGCCGGCTCTGACCTCGTCCGCTCGCAAAACACTGATTTTCGCATTTACACTAACGAGTCAGTTGTTTTTTATGCATTTTAAAGCGCAATTCATGAAATCCAGCTAAAGAAATTTCCTGGACTCGAGTACGCAGTGACATTAGTTAGATAAATACGCGACGTGAGCTCTCACCTAACGAATACCGTAATGGCGCACCTGCCAAAGTAGGGACCTTCAGTGGTATCAAATAGACTTGTTCATAGAATTTTCTACGATAAAACTGGTGCCATATAGCAATTGTTGAAAAGCAGCTTGGAATATTGCGATTCACCATACAGAGGTATTAAGTTCATGTAAACGCCTGTGATGGTGATACCAGCAAGCAGTTTCCCACAAAACAGTTGTACTGAGGCAAAAATTTGACCTAATTACATATTTCGATTGCTTTCATCTTTAAAAATATGTTCCATTGTTTCTGACATTTCCGAGATTCGGTCGACTGGTCTAACTACATCGTGAACACCTCTTGCAATGACAGGTTTTAGCTGCTAACATTCAAAATTTGGCAAGACAGCTGCTCGTGATTTTAAGGCATGACCTCAACGTCCAACGGTTCATTCAAAACAGATGGCACAAACGATCTCCAGCTGTCAATACGATATTTTGAACTGACCCGGTATTCTAACCCGATTTTGTCAACATTAACTTTGTGATAAAGCAAATGCATCAGAAATTCCAAATTTAGATACAATGAGCAGCCATGATTTACGTTTACTGTTTTGCCGAAAAGAACTAAAATAATTGATTGAATAAAGATCAACGAAATTTAAAAGTTCGTGAAAACACCTAGATACCAATTAAAACCGTTTTGCTTAATTTTCGTTAATCATTTAAACATAAAATCAATAATCTACTAACCTATTGCTTATCGCATTACGTTTTAGTGCCTAAACAAATATATTTCAGCCGTTTCTTTCGGGTGGAGATCAGTCCTAAGTGGCCTTAATTTGTTAATCACGCATACTCAATTGAACGTGATTTAAAGTTTCGATAAGTCAATAATAATAATAATTAAAGTTATTAAACATTTCGGGAAAGCGATTCCGACTGCTTTATGAATCCAGTATACTTTCAGACATAATCAACATTTCTCACTAGTGAGTAAATCCCCTGCACTACTTAACCGTAATATGATGCGGGTAGATATATTTTAATTCCACTGTCAGATCGGGTCAGATTCAAGTCGAAAGCAGAAGCTTCAAGGCTTTTAACAGATACGGGAGTGTAAATTTCACACGTCAAATTTAATATGACATATAATATACTCAACTATTAACGTTGAAATAGTGATTAGAATAGCAAATTTATGTACGCAATATTTAGATTCAACAGCCTTTAAGTCAATTCAGATTGTGGATTATAGTCTCGGAGAACGTAAATCAGTCCGCCGTAAATTTTGTTTCTGGAGAAAATCAATTCAACTATGTTTTTACATTTGTCAATGAAATCGAAAACGGACAATAAGTTAAAGTTCATTAAAATTCAAAAATTCAGCAATTTAACAACCACGGGAGGACAACTGTAATCCTGTACAATTTTCCAAGAAACCGACTAAGAATCGGTCGTTGGATTTTCATCGCCTTCGTCTTCATAGTTGTCATCACCTGCATCTTCCTCGCCCTCTTCTTCAACCACCACAACACTGTCATCAACTTCGTCCTCGTCGCTAAGCGAAATCATGTATTAATGACAGCTCGAAATAAGTTTAAATTTAAAAAGATCATACCTCTCACCCTCGATACCATTTTCGCCTACGTCAATATCCGGAATAAGAAAGTATTGCAGGGGATTTGGCCACAAATCGTCTTTAATGACCTACAAGGACAAGGGAATAAAAAAAACAAATCGACTATGCCGGAGCAATGAAAAAACCTCGGCGATATCATCAGAAGAGGCGTCACTGTTGTCAATAAACCAAGAAAAGAATGTACGGGGTTGTCCGTGTGGTCGTTTCTTGCCTGCTTTCGCGGCTTGTTCTTGCAAATTTTTTGTCAGATCCATTTCGTTTTTCCACTTTATCTCAGTCGATGTTGAAGTGGGCTCTAAAAAACCATGTCGTAAAAAGGGAACGTTTTTATATTATGATAGTATAACCTGACTGGCCAAGATGAAATTCCTTCACTAAGACGTCATTTTCGAAGAACGGATTGTCCTCAAAAGTGAACTTTAGCCTGTATCCCGATTTGATGTCGTCGAATTCTTCCACCTAAACTCCGAACTCGTGGAATGACTCGCAACAAGAGACAAAAGGCGTAATAACCTCGAGTTTTATCAGGTAATGCAGGCATTCTTCTTCTTCTTCATCTAGAACCGCTGAGATCTGTGGATGATTGACGAACTAAACCAAGTACAAGTGAAAGTTCATGATGATGGTATGGAAGTTTACACGATGACAGAACGCAAACTACGAAACAGCAACGACACGAGCGCCACCTAGCGGCAGCAAGGCATATGCGCATAGTCTGTCATTATTTTATTTGCGCTCAAGTGCTAATGCAGATCTGGAAAGAGCATTTTTGCACTGCTAATTTTTTTTGTACTTCTCCGAAATAAACAAGTAGCACTGGATAATAAATTAATAAACAGTCGAAAACGGGGTTTTGGCTATCAAAATAATTGTACACGTCACAACTATGACGAAAAAAGGTTACTCACCGCGGTCACCCAGAAGTTGGGTATCTTCATGATGAGAGTATTACGTTTCTCGAAAAACGGCTTTCTGAGCTTGTTGTACTTCTGTTCGACTTTGAGAATTTCCTCGCTAGCTTTTTCGTTCAACGAGTCTATTTCGTTTTGGCAACTGTCGATCTCCTCCAGCGCCTTTTGTGTCTCGGCATCGTAGTCCTTCGCTGCATCGTCACTGCCGGCGACAATCACCTCTTCCTTACGTGTCTGTTTACGCGGAGGTGCTCCTTCGGTGCTGGACATTCTGCACGATTTGCACTGCAACGTTTAGATCTGAAAAACAACAATAACTTCGTTCACTACCAGTCTGAGAAACCAATCCAAGTCACGGCACAAAGCGGCTCAACACACAATCGACCATTGTTCTGACCCGCTCACACCCAAAGACTAAACCATCCACGAAATAACCCCTTCACCCCAGCCAGAGCAACATACGACAGTAGAACACAACATCCGAAACGCCACCTATAACACCGTTCGACAGGTTTCGGCGCTCACCAATGACGATTTGAAATCTGTTTTGAGCATGCAAATCATTTTACTGTATTGAACCCATTTACGCAATTCTAAGTGAATTTACCTAATTTTTTCAACGGTGATGCATCATTAGCAGTGAATGCTGTTAGATCATTGGAGAATAAACGCACTAAAATAAATTGAACGTTCGATTTCACGTCTGTTTTTATAATAAACAATCCGAAGATAGAGTATTTCGTTCACGCGTGGTGATCACACTCAAAACTGTATAAGATCACGGTTTATTCGTACAGAGCGGAAACAAACTGGTTAACCAAATAATTAGCCAGTACCGTACCCGCATCGCACTTTATTATGCTGGACAAGGTTGATTTCCGATGTTTGCTTTGTCCGCAGTTGCTGTAACTCCTGGAGTCAAAAGGTGTGCCTTTTGCCTATGCTACTGGTACCAGGCTCGATACGGCTTATCCAAGTCAGTTTGAACGTCGCATCCTTTGTCCAGATCTGTATTTTTGTGGGATTAGATAACTAACGTCTCCTTCATGCTTCTGTTTAGCATGTTTTGCCCGTGCAATCTGACAAGTGGGGAACGTAACCTTCTTCTGCTGAATGTTGCACAATTCCGGAGATCACTATCTCGAGCCGAAACGTCCGTACTGGACGAATGCCAAATTAGCCAATTTTTTGCTCTGTCCGTGAATAAACTGTGTTTTAAACAGTATGAATGATATGAATAATCTGCACTGAAGTCGTTTGTTTACTTAATTATTTTCAGAATGCATGCTAGGGCACGTTAGAGGCATTTCCAACCAATGTGACAAGGGAGAGCTGTATTTAGAGAAGGCGTCAGAATGGAACCTCATAGCCGGGAAAGGTACCCACTCTTAGCCATTACTCAACAGAAACAGGACGTTGAATTAGCTGCCTAGTCATGTGTTACTTAGACAAGGTAGAGTATTTCTGACCGGTACCGTATAAAGTAAGAACTGCGTAAAACCAAAAATTCCGTGGAAGTGTAGTAGAAATCGAAATTCCAATGGAAGCAAGTGATTCATTTTGACAAACTCCATTGAGAAAATAATTCCAAAAATTCGCGACCCTGCTAACTTCTCGCTTAAAATTCAATAACTTGGTATAATCGCTGGAATTCGCAAAGTCGTTAACTAGCGATGTTTCGCAAATTCTGAAATGTCAGGCTATAGGGCGCTTCGTACAATATTGATTGTTAAGAACATGATGCGACGACTGTCAAAAAAATGCAATAAAAGTCTGGCATATTTCTAACATAGACATTAACTAACGATTAATCTCTAGCAAGCGACTATACAATATCGCTTTCAATGAATGTCTATATGTCACTGGCACAATCAATCAAGAGCGCAACATCGTTGGGGTACTCAGTAACCCTTAAAAATAATGCCAGATGTTACTAGCTGCCTTTTCCTTTAAGGTGTTTGGGACCAGGTAATTCATCGTTACGAAGTCCTTAAAAGTGCGTAAGAGGTCAGCGTTGAAGTGGAACTCCAGAGATAATGAGCTGAATTCTGGAAATCTTTGTCTTTATTACGAATTTCATTAGGCAAGAGGAGTACCACATGTTGCTGCAAACTGGGATTATTCAGCAGGTATAGCTAAGGCTCGGGTCACTCGCCTTTCTTCTTTCCGAGCATGATAAATAAATACCATTCTGATGAATCAATGGGAAGGAAACAGGATAATATAGACCACATAGTTGTCGTGAAGCTGCTGTCAATTTTGCCTTTACAATACGGTATTTCCGAGTAGCGACGGTGAAGTGGAAATCACCACCCGCATCACTAATTCAAAGAAAAAACGATGGTGTCATTGATTCTACCACCTAAGAAGAAGGAAGGCAGACATTCAAGACAATTTGCATACTTTCCGGTTTTTACTTTTTTATGCCAATGAACAGGGAAAAAGAGCATATCGTACGATAAACTCCATTGACAAAATCGCACCAGCGTGGCAGCGAACCGTTTGTTCGGATGGCACATTTTGTTTTCCTGCTGGGATATTCTATCATGTTTTAACATTCAGCTATCGAACTCCTTAATATCTAATATCATCCATCTTAGTCAAGGGGTTAAATAGTCTCATTGGCCATTAATTATTCTCCAGTATGTTACAAACACTTTGATAGTGATTGAAAGGTTAATAAAGCAGTCCATATAGGGTATAGGAATTTCACTGGGACATAGGACACTATTAGTGGAAAAGACACAAGGACAAAGGTTACATCGCAGGAATTTGCGAGTTCATTGAACGAATTAATATAAGACGGCGGTTAAGAGGCAACGTAATTTCACACATTACTTCAAGAAAAAATTGTTGAACGCGTCCATTAAGTTACCAAGAGTAAAAAGAAATGTTTAATTGTTGCACTGATCTGACGAAAATTATAGCAGAGTTAACAGACGATCTCAGGTCCTAGTCAGTGCATGGGAAATAGTTTTCAGTATCTGATGAATAGCGACATTTTAATTTCGAGAAACGTCTAAATAGCCACGTCAAATTAACTCGATTTCGATGGCATCTCCTTTTGCGTCTAGGAGGCAGATGCACCAGGCAATGTTTTCATATTTCCCGATCCTGTGGCAGGGTTTGAGCTTTGGGAGAACATGGCCGGACATCAGAGAACAGTCTTTCAATACAACAAGGCCAGGTCAAGATTTGTAATTATCGGAGTTTTTTTCTTGTCGGTTGTATAATGACTAGGAGCGTCGCCTTTTTTTCTGAAAGCATCCTCAACACGTTCCAAAGCCACCGCAGCTGTGGCTTCTGAATCAGAAGAAACAGCGGCTATTAACCAAGGCTCTCCCGGATATCAGTATTCTGGACCATTTTGCGACATGTAATGCCAGCGAATCGTTTCAGAAAGCAGTTTGTACCCGGGATTGAAGTTTTTCCGTCATGGTCAAAGACTCATCACTGTAAGTAAGCACGGTGATAAAGATCGACTAGAACAGCAAGAATTTACTTTTCAGACTGAGTTCTGCTTTGGTCATAATAGATCGGGCTTTCACGCAGAACACAACCGGCTACTCCATTTCGCCGGTCGATCTGTTCCTAAAATTTTCCATCACTGGTAAATACGACTCAGAGGGACTTGGAACTCTCCACCTCCTCCACTGCCACTGAAGAGAGCAACAGGTAGGAAAACGAAAAAGCAGTAGGTTCATCGTTTTGATGCGTTCACGCGCATGCTGGTCACGTCGCACTCCGATGGGAACCTGTCGAATGAGTGCTGTAGATCATTTTCAGGACACTCTAACAAATCAAAGTGATCTGCAGAGCTCAACCTTGTCGTCTCGAAATCTACACTGATTTACTCATCATTATGGCTGCGCCTGAAATTTCTATCCATGTACAAAACAAGCAGGAGAAGGAACAGAACCCAACCTTGGAGGAGACCAGTGCGATGCTGATGCGTAACATTATGTACTACCGTATAAACATCATCGCTGTTCATGCACCGTTATACTCTTTGGGGGTACACAGTAATAGTCTCTATGCTATCGCTTTTTTACCCGCTGATCAGCCGTTTGCTTAATGGTAGAAATTATCGGAAGGAAATATAAAGTTGTTGAAAATTCGGTTGTTTAGTTTTAATTATTTTACAAGTTGTTTTAGTGATTCTTAATTAAAGCATGATTTAATCCATTCTCAGTAAACTCCAAGTATGGTTGTTGACAGCGAAGTTCGTCTGTAAAGGAGATATTCCCTATAAGTTAGAGATAAAATACGATTTAAATGAAGTCAATTGTGTGATCCTTATCCGACTGAAATTTTTGGTAAAAGTTTTTCACGAAACAGGTTAAACGTTGTTTCACATTCACGGGCCATTTTCGTTAAATTTGTGGTTTACAAAATTTATTTACTCGTTTCATAAATCCGTATATTCCTATGGCTTAATTTCTGGTGTATGCCATAGCAATTGGTTGTGATGGTTCTTGTGTTTGCGACCTTGCGAATTAGCCGTTTTACACGTTGTAATTACCGTCTTTAGCTGCTTGCGTTCTAAATGTTTCGTTTAGTTTTAGTTCAGACTTCTCGGCTTTTCTGTTAGAAGCATGTCACAGTGTTCCTGGAGAAGCAATGTTACACGGACCGATGAAGCGGACAAAGAAAACAAGCGAAAAGAAGGCGGGGGATTACCTACCAAAGTAGTAGCTCAATTTCTAATATAGTT